CACAAAACACATGTAGACTGGTTGGGCAAACTCCCATGAACCCTCCAGAACCCTCCAGAGAGTATGGAGCTGGTCCACTGTTCCACTGCCAGGGCGAAAACCACACTGCTCCTCCTGAATCCGAGGTTCGACAATCCGGCGGACCCTCCTCTCCAGACCCCCCAATAGACCTTACCAGGGAGGCTGAGGAGTGTGATCCCCCTATAGTTAAACTTGTGCTGAAGTGTGATCCCCCTATTCTTAAAGAGGGGGACCACCACCCCGGTCTGCCAGTCCAGAGGCACTGCCCCCGATGTCCACGCAATGCTGCAGATGCGTGTCAACCAGGACAGCCCCACAGCATCCAGAGCCTTAAGGTACTCCGGGCGGATCTCATCCACCCCCGGGGCCCGGCCACTGAGGAGCTTTTTAACCACCTCAGCGACCTCCGCCCCAGAGATAGGGGAGTCCACACCCAAGTCCCCATACTATGCTTCCATATTGGAAGGCGTGTCGATGGGATTGAGGTCTTCGAAGTACTCCCCCCACCGACCCAAAACGTCTCAAGTTGAGGTCAGCAGCACCCCATCCCCACTATAAACAGTGTTGATGATGCACCTGCCCTGAGCCGCCAGATGATGGACCAGAATCTCCTCGAAGCTGTCCGGAAGTCGTTATATATATATACAGTACATATATATATATATATATACACACACACACATACATATATTATATATATATATATATATATATACACACACACACACACACACATATATATATATAATTAGAGATGCACCGATCCGTTATTCGGATCGGTATCGGCGCCGAACCAGACCTTTGACGGAACGGGTATCGGCCATGCGTGACCAATCCACGTCATATGCTTACTTATTTTGTTTTTGGCAATTTCTAAAAACACAGCTCCTATTTCGTGTTAAATCTATTTGTACAATCAATCGCACGACAGCTCTCCCATTTTACATGTGTTTTTTGCGGAATTCAAATCGAACGCTAACGCTGCCCCTCACTCTTTTTTGCTACTCAGTGGGTGTGAGTACAGTGACTTCCGCCTGTTGTGACGTCATGCGCATAACCTTCTCAGTACGAGGAGCGTAAGATAAGACGTGACGATCTGGGAATATTTCACGCTTTTAACAGAAACCAGTAGCACAGCGATTTGCAATCTTTGTAAAATAAAGTTTTGAGTTGTGGGAATAGCGTTTAATGGACAAATCCACTTAACAAAGCGCACGCAACTGCGAGACAAAAATGCAATGGATGTCTGTCTTGCGAACTCGCTGCACAAGCTGAATGTTGGCACTATCGGCTGAGGTCCGGGTGTCTGAAGCACTGTATCTCTTGAATTGGCCGTGTCTTACGTGCTGCAGTCGGCCTTACTACACTGTATTTTAATTGGCCCGGTTATGATTTGATGTTTCCCTGCCGTTGTTTGGCGCAGCTAGGCTGTTATGCAGCAAACAGGTGCAATACAGTATCTGGCCCCATACTAATGGAATGGACATAGATTGGTGTCATGCCGTTTCGCGCCGAAAAAAAGTCAACACGATATACGGACATTACTCGGTACACGGCCTCATACTGTTAAACAACCATTGGCCCACTACCTGCGGAACGGCCATAGGCCGACTATCATCAGTGATATTAAGCCAGGACGGCGCCAAACGACCCTTTTTTCTACACCATCTGGTAAGTGACACTAAATTTTAATTTTTATTAATCAATGAAAATTATTAGTCTAATTGTTCTCAAAAATAGCCTAAACAATCTATCAACATGATTGATAATTAAACATGGTTGTATGTTCCACATTATCCAATAAATTTAAATTAAACATCGACTTCTAGTTTCAGGTACTAGTAACGGTACACAACACAGGCTCGGACTGGGAACAAAATTCGGCCCAACATACGCAGCGCAATATCAAGTTATTTATAACATAAGCTACGCGACAGATTTGGCAGTTAATTATGAATTATTTAATTGTTTATTATTTAAACTATGCTTCATCGCCCTTTATCAGCGAATAAGATAAAAGAGCACGTCCTACCTTAGGTGGTGAGAGTCGATTTGGTCAGGTTAAGTTTGATTACTACATGTACAATATAATAATCTATACAACAAGTGTGCCTCCTGGGATTGTGGCATGAGTAAATGGTGTCCTGTAGTCGTGTTCTGGGCATACAGCAACTTATCTGGATATAACGGACTTTGGATATAACGCACTGTTTTGCCAGGTCCCTTGAAGTCCGTTATAACTGGATTTTACTGTATTAAATAATAATTAATCTGACACATAGGAAATGAAACGCTGCATTCAGTAGGTACAATGAACACTACTTCCGCGTTTAATTTGTTGGCTACTTTTTGCCAGCCGTCTTTTCTAGTTTGGGCTGCTTTTGCCGTGTTACCCCTTGTGCATATTAGTTCTTGAAATTCTTCATATCCTTAATTCTAATACGAGGTCCCGCTCCGCTTGTGTGAAGGTGCGCCCTACTGTACTTTTCGTCATTTTTTACAGCCTATCAAAGACTTGCTGATCATGTTTTCTAGACTCGATATATATGGGGTATGGAGGGAAATCCCGGTCATTTTTCAAAAGGAATTGCAAATTGCATTTGCAATTGCGTTTTCCATATGTGGACGCATAAAGTGTGACATCATTGAAATGCAATTGCAAATTTTGCATTACCTTTATACTTTGAGTGACGTCACTCCCCATACAATCACGCCCCACAGTATAGACCCACCCCTGACGCTGATTGACATGTTTCCGTGTAATGCGTTGGAAATTCAAATGCAAAAGGAATTGCGATTGCGTTTGAGTCTTGGCAGGCTACGTACGCGACGCAGAGAAAATGAAAAAGCAGACGTGGTAATTGATTTTGCTATTTAAATATGATAGGCTCATGACTTGTAAGACATGGGAAATGCAACTGCAAATGGACTTTGCTTTTTCATTTGAAATTTGGCAGTCAGTGTTCTTTCGCGAAAGCGAAAAAGCAAACGGTAATGCAAAATTTGCAATTGCATTTGAATTATGTCACACTTTATGCTTCCACATATGGAAAACGCAATTGCAAATGCAATTTGCAATTCCTTTTGAAAAATGTCCGGGATTTCCCTCCATAATGGGCTTTTCAAGCAGCGCGGGTGCGCGCAATCATCTCGGATGAATGGATCCACCTATACTAATCTACTACACAGCTGCCTTTGAAAAACCGACTTATCCCGGTTGAGTTTCACCGGCATTAACTCATACAAGATGAGACATCTGATCTCAGATGATTTAAGCGACGTACGGAAAATACCCCACTGATGTCTGCTCCTGTTACCATGCGTTTGTTGCCCGGTATATATTGTGGTTTCTTCAGTTAAGTTCCGATTGCAACAGTCTTGTTTTGAACCAATTGCGGTACCTTTTATTTGTGCCTTTCCCCATTGTGTTCTATTTTGCTAATAAACCCTTTTGTATTGGAGCCAAACCGTGGATCGTCACCTGTTTCCTGCCTGTGCCATACCCTGCCATAACGGTCTATGGCTTAAAATGCCTGGTCAGTTGGTGAATGCAGTTTAGTTGGTGACTGTAACGGAATCATCCCTTCATATATGTGAGGAAGAGCCCCCAAAGTTTGTGTTGTCTGTTTTGCTAAAAGCCAAGACGTTTAGAAGCCTTTTTAGTAGAAAAGTTCTGTCTATTTCTAGTGTAACTCACACAGATCTTCTCAAACCCTTCTGTAAACTCAAGACATTGTGATGGGATTAGTGTATTACTGTATTGGTGTACTATAAGCATATTCTCAATCTGTCACTAGAGTCAGTCTTTAAATAACCACTGATCCCAGTACTTATTTTTCATTACTCAAAAAACTGTACTGGACAGTTCTAGGTTTCAGCTTCATTGCAGGAGCTCAGTGGATGGGGGTTAATTGAGGTACTGGTTGTTCATTTCAGCACAAGTTTAAATAAGACGACTCAGTCATGTCAAGATCAATCATGCACTGGCCGGGCATTTAATGGAACGAATAGAATTTTAAAGTTAATTTCATAAGCAATTAAGAGTAATTTAAATTCTTGTGACTTGCAAGATGGTGTTTCCAAATAAGTTAATGAAAGAAGAACCGCTTAGAGAAAGAAATAAATTGCTTTTTAATTTCAGCTGGCTCCTGCTTTATCAGCAGTGTATAGCCTACCTGCCACCAAGAAGAAAAAGGAAAGGAAGAGTTGAGATTGGGTGCTAATAAAACTGGCCATCTCTCATTAAAACCTCAATCGTGCGTAAAATGAGACTGATGGAAATTTATCTAAAAGGTCAGGGAAAGGGAGTTTTCAGTCTGACAAAGGACTTAACAGACAGGATTTTAATTTCGCTGCTTCCCACAACAGCAAGGGAAGCATAGTACCTTCAGGCAGGCAGCCTTCAGCTTATCTGCATCGTATTAAAAGCATTACTGTTCCCACTTTTCTTTTGCCCATCCTGTCCATCTTCCTTTCCTTCGATTCTCACTGTTTTTCTTGCCTTGTCTTTGATGCTCTGCTTCTGATGCATTGCTTCTCCCTTTAACTCCAGCACATGTTCCCATACAGATTGTGTCAGTCTTAAAAAGTTGCATCTGCTGAAGCTAGAGGTCACATGATCAGTTGCATTTCAGTATTAGTATTAGTGACTCAAAAGGTCTTTTGGGTTATGTGACTTTCATAAATCATAACTGAGAGCTTGTGGTGACTTTTTTCAGATATTAAAATCGCCACCTTGAAGAATCAGATCTGAACAGAATCACCCCCCACCCCTAGGAGATTGAAAAAATGTTGCCTAGGCAGATGAGTCTTGATTTCTGCTGTGACATTCAGATAGTAGGGTCATAATTTGGCACAAATAACATGAAGGCATGGATCCATCCTTCCTTGTATCAATAATTTATGCCGGTGATGCTGATGTAATGGTGATAACATCCACAATCACCAGATTTCAGTCCAGTATAGCATGTTGGTGGTGAAATGGGAAAGTAGGTGTAGCCCACAAATCTGCAGCAACTGTGTGATGTCAACATTTCTGAAGAATGTCTCAAGCACCTTGTTGAATTTATGAGATGAAGAATTAAGGCAGTTCTAAAGGGAAAATGGCCAGTGAGTGTATGAACTGTGTGTGTGTGTGTGCATGTATTCTAGTCTTTACCCTCTGTATGAGGCTTGTGCATTAAAGAGAGAACCTGATGAGATTGATTAGTCATTTCAAGTTGGTAGTGAAATGGCAAAGATTCTGGAATATATATTATATGGCTTATTAACACTTCAACACAGTATTTAGGGCTTATTTGCTTTGGGACAGTATTGGTGGTTTTATGAGCTGTTTGACCCTAACACTGAGTAAAATGTTTTTCAAGCTTAGTACTTAAAATTGAAGTTATGCTGACTGTAGAAATGCTTTCATGTTAGTAGTAACCACATTCAGGAAAAGGCTTCAAAAGTCACATCATCTGTAGAATACACAGTAAAAGTTCTCTGGATGTCACAGATCTGAGATGACACAATCAGTAGCCTACTTACAATAGCTTGTTTTTCCCCCACATATTTCCAGGGCTGTGGAGTCGGAGTCGGAGTCGAGGAGTCGGAGACAATTTTGGGTACCTGGAGTCGGAGTCGGCAAAAAGTTAACCGACTCCGACTCCGACTCCTACTAAATTTAAATGGGAATTAAAAAAGTAAGTTGAAATGTCCGAATTCACAAACAGTCATAATGAACTACTTCTCTGCTGTAAGAATAAAGCCCAATGCATGCAGTGCATAATGTTACCACAAAACGAACATGTCAAGTAACCATGAAGCATGCTTTTCATTGACTGTATGCGTCACTATATGGGATGTAATGCACAGGTAAGGTGCGGCACCGCTTTCCATTGTGTCGTGTTCCACTGTTACAGGGAACTGTGAACCTAGCCTAAAGCCCCCCATACATTTACAGATGCACTGCCGATTTTTCGGCTGTTCAACGAGTCATCACGCGTCAAACGCCTGAAAAATCATCTGGTGTGTTCTCAGCTCCGTCGGCTCCCCTTCGCTATGCGCTAGTGAAGGGGGCCGAAGGAGCCGAGAACACAGATCTCCCTACCTGTCTCCAGCAGAGGCTCGTTCTGCTGATCAGCTGGCCGGTGAGTGACACAATGCACTAAACTTCCGGCTGGCTGACAGAGGAGACAGCCACTGCAGCAGACAGAGGCATCACATTACTTTGGATGGGGGCGGTGGTCGAGATTTTCGGCAAGCTATATACATACAGAGGAGTCGGAGTCGGGTAGTCGGAGTCGGAAGATTTAGAAACTGAGGAGTCGGAGTCGGAGCATTTATCTACCGACTCCACAGCCCTGCATATTTCTATGCATTTTTCAGAAACCCACTGTTCTTCTGTCTTTCTGTTGACTTTAATGAGTCCAGTTGTTCTCTTCTGACCGCTCTTATTAACAGGTTGTTTTCAACCACAGTGCTGCCTCTGACTGGAAATTTGTTTGTCATGCCATTCCATGTAAACTCTAGATATCATAGTGTATGAAAACCCCAAGAAAGTAGCTGTTTCTGAGATTTTCGAACTACCACATCTGACACCAACAAACACACCTAGAGCTGGGCGATATGGCCTAAAAATAAAATCTCGATTTTCCACTCCCCTACTCAAATTCAAACTACAGATGACA